AGCTATTTTGCTTTGGGAGTGCCGTCTGGCCAGACTAATAAAGGTCTGTTTTATTTTCCAACTTGTCCGGTGTGTTCCTTCCCCGGTGTTCGTCGCTGCAGTCAGCTCCTCGGAGCGTTTGGTAAGGCCCTCGGTCTTACACTTCAACCATGTAAATGAATCTCACTCAGCGGTGACGGAGACGCAGGAGGCAGCTGACTCTCACCGCCCTTCCTCGCCCCTCCAGGCTTCCAGGGTTCCCACTGCCCCTCAAAGGCCCTGGCTCCTGTCCCTGCCTGCCTTCCATGCAGGCTTCCTGCCTCGGTCCTGGACGTTGCGGCAGAAAAGAACAGACCCGTGGTGCCCGTGGTGTTCGGCTGCCACGGGCAACTCTGTCGCGCGGAGGCCGTGAACAGGACAGACCTGCTGAGCTTGTCCCTCCCTCCCTTCAGAAAGGGGCTGAGAGTACCCAATGGACAAAAGCTACTGCACAGGCGCACGCCCTGAGGCCCTCGTGCTCTTCCTGTCCCATGCGGCCCACGTGACGACGGCTCTTCCTGTCATGTGCCCCATGCGTGACTGCGCATGGCTGTGGGGCCCAGCTAGCTGCGGAGGACCTGCGTTTTGGGAAGCCCGTGCCCGGCTTTTCAACTCCTTTAGGAGGAAGTCAGGGCAGGAAGCTGGTGGGCGGGGGGGGCCACCTTGCACATACATGGTTGCTGAACTCCTTAAGTCAGTGTCTGGTCTGCCCCCAGGCCCACCGCGCACCAGTTCTTTCTTCTCTCTGCTGTCCCGACCTCGTATCCAGCAGTCCACTGGGTCATCTTTCCCCACTTCGACAGACGCACAACACAAAGCAGTAATGCATTCACCTGCCCCCCGAGCCTCTGGTATGTTCAGACTCATTGGCTGTAGTAGTGTCCTATGCACAAAATCATAAAAATTCTAACCCTAATACCTGAACCATGCTTTTCTTCGGATGCCACCCATGCAAATGATTGCAGTGGTTTGCTCGGATCTCCCAGTCTGCTGTCACCCAGGTTTCTACTCCGTTTTACCACTATGCATAAACAACACAAAACCAGACTTCCAGGGTTTCTTCACTGGCCACAACTTTTAAATTTAACATAGAAGCTAATAGCCCCCAAAGAGCACTTTCATACCTCGAAATTACTACTTTTTGCTATTCCATTTGGGATCTATTTAAGGGCTAGCTCAAAAGCCAGGTGCCAGTTAAGTTTTATAACTCTGTAGACATAACTGCCAAAGGCAGAATTAAGTATTTCCAAGTACTACTTAGCACACCCATTAGTGGCCCCTCACTATTAGTTATTAATCTCAAAAGATAGTCTTTTGGGGGAAGAAACCTGATCCTCACCTTCCACTTGTCAGGGTGCATGGTACAATATCCCATGGCCCTCAATACTGTATATATTTATTTTCATTTTGAGTCTATGATGAACAGTGTTTAATCAATATGCCAATGAGACTTGCTGTCTACCTCCTTTCTGTGATTTTTTTAGGGTTCAGGTTATGCAACATAAAGTACATAACAGCATAGAGGAAATAATCTTGTTTTAAAAAACTAAATTTAATCAAACATTGTGACTTAAGCTCCAATATATAGAAAATTCAGAAGATTGAGAAAAAAGTTTAATGAAACTTAGGGAAAAGTCAATCAAAAATGTAAGTAGGGGCCGGGGATTTAGCTCAGTGGCACCGTGCCTGCCTTGCAAGCACAAGGTCCAGAGTTCAATCCCCGCTACCACACACACACACACAAAAAGTAAGTAGGACACTCAAATAAAACTGTCTTGGACACTCCAAAAAATGTCATAGGAATGTAGAACATACTGCCAAGATTTTATGAGGAAACTCCTAAAAAACTAAACATGCAACTGTGTAAAACCATCAATTATGTGCCTGTGGATTTACCCCAGAGAAATAGCAATGTTCACACAAAAACTTGTACACAAATGTTCATGGAAGTTTTATTCTTAATAGCTAAAACTGAAGTCAATCTAGACACCATTCCACATGTGAATGGTAAAACAAAGCATAGTACATAATACCTTGGAATACCACTCAGCAAGAAAAAGGAATGAAAACTGGGATGAATCTCCCAGGAGTTATGCTGAGCAGAAAAGCAGCCAGTCCCAAAAGATTATATACCTACGATTCAATGTATGCAAAATTATTGAAATGACAAATTTTAGAAATAGCAGACTAATGGTTACCAGGGGTTAGCTTCCGGTGCAAGAGGGAGATGTATGTGGTTAAAAAGAGCAACATGGGAAATTCTGGTGACTTTTAGAACTATTTTTTTTTTTTTTGGTACCAGAGATCGAACTCGGGTCCTTCCGATTGTGAGGCAGGCAGCAGGAACCACTGAGCTAAATCCTCGGCAGAACTATTGTATTTTTATGGTTGGGGCAGATATACAGACTTATGTGAATGGCAAAAATGTACAGAATTTAAAACACAAACTGCCAAAGTACAAATAAAATGGGAAATTTAAATAAGATGGTCAGTTTTATCAGTCAATAATCTGGTTGTGACATACTACTTTTGAAAAAGGTTTTTAGGGGACACTTTGCAAAGTGTACAAAGGATTTCTCTATACAATTGGATAAACCCACACAGTGAAAATTTTTCATTAAAAAATACCATGGAGGAAAAACAGGTAGGGAAACCAATTTAAATTAAAACATGAGAAAAAGGGGGGCCGGGGATTTAGCTCAGTGCTTCCACCACCTGCCTCGCAAGTGCAAGGTCCCGAGTTCAATCTCCGGTACCAAGAAAAAAAACAAAAAACAAGCCCAGAGGAGGCCTCCAGGCCACTGTATCAACGCTCCAAGCACAGAGGAGGTGAGCCACGCGGGCACCAGCAGTGCACACACACACACACACACACACGCACACCCCGTTGAAATGAGAAGACATGTAAACAAGTCTCAAAACCAGGGCCAGGGATTTAGCTCAGTGGTTCCTGCACTTGCCTCGCAAGCACAAGGTCCCGAGTTTGATCCCCGCTACCAAAAAACAACAACAACAATGAACAAACAAGCCTCAAAACCAGACTTCCAGATCACCTACAGCAACCCAAAGGGAAACGTGATGGAACACTCTGATACTCAACCATCTGGACTCCCTGAATTGGCAACAAGAGAATCTGGAAAAAAATGAAATCAGAAATAATTTCTCAGATAACAGCAGAGATTGTGCTCATAGTGCAAGACATGATTAATAAATCTAGAGAGGAACATGATGGAATCCCAACATAGCAAACAAATGGAATCCATAAAACAGATGCAAACAGATTTCCAGATTAAAAAATCCATTGAGAAAAAGGGTCCAGGGATTTAGCTCAGTGGTCCTGCTGCCTCCCTGGCAAGCACAAGGTCCCAAGTTCAACCCTCAATACAAAAAAAAAAAAAAAGATATGAGAAAACAACCAAATGAAATGTGTAAGCCTTGACTACACTTCAGGGGGAGACTGGGAAAATGTGAGCGGATCAGTTATTAGATATTACAGAATTATTGTAGTCTAGTTGCCTTGGTATTGTGGTTACAGACAAATGTCCTTATTTTTAGAACATGTGCTGAAATATAATCAGGTGAAGAGCCATGATATTAGTAAAAATTTCATAAGGTTTTTTTGGTTGCTGTTGTTGTTACTATTTTTGTTTTTTGGTACCACGGATGGAACTCAGGACCTTGTGCTTGCTGGGCAGGCAAGGTGCCACTGAGCTAATCCCCGGCCATTTTTTTTTTCCCATTAAGTTTTTTTTTTTTTTTTTGGTACCAGGGATCAAACTTGGGTCCTTGTGCTTGGGCAGCAGTCGGCGAAACCACTGAGCTAAATCCCCAGCCCTGATGACTGGATCTTGTACGTCATTAGCTTTCTATGCTCCACTACGCTGGCTGTTCCTTGACTGCCAAACTTGTACCGGCCTGGACCCCTGCCCTAGTCATTCTCCCTGCTTTAAATGTCCATCCTCATGATTGTCTTACAGACAGCTCACTTGAGTTTAGAATTCAGTGGGAATGTCCGTTTTACAGAGGCTTTCTGACTGCAGCATAAAGTTGTCTCCTCAAACTCAACTGCTTCACATTATTTTAACATATCCTGCATCTGTTCACTCTGTGTACTGTCATCCTTCCACAGAGGGGATTCCAGTTCCACAGAGGGGATTTGTTCAAGGACGCTCGTGTCCCTTATATGAAGTGGAGGAGTACTTGCATATAGTCTCTACGCATCCTCTGTGCTGTATGTAGCCCAGGCTGGCCTCAAATTTACAGGGATCCTCCTGCCTCAGCCTCCTGAATGCTAAGATTACAGAGGGCCACCATGCATGGCCCTCTAATAAGTGTTTAAATCATCTCTAGATTGCTTAAAATACCTAGTCCAATGTAAGTTATATGTGAACTGCTGCTATGCTCTGCTACTGAGAGAGCAACAGCCAGGAGGAAAAGCTTGTGCTTCATACTTCTTCGTAAGGATGCAGCAGCTCTTGAGATCTGTCCTGTCCATGTTGGTTGGCTGTGGGTGAAGAACCCATGGGCGCAGAGCTGACATGTCCTTGGGTTTCTTAGTCTTTCCATCCTGCACTGGGAGCTCCATGTTGGCAGGGACCTTCCCTGCCTGTCTAATCTGTACCTGGTTGACTGGAGGAATGAATGAAGGGATGGATGTGGCGGGAGGAAGTACCGGGCCAAGTTGGGGGTTCCTGTGAGACGTCCAGGTGGAATTAATTGTCCACAGGAGACGCCTATGCGGGTCCCGAGGAACAGAAGTAGCTGACTGATCCATAGAGATTTGACAGGCGTCTGTCTATAGCCAGTAATGCAGTGGCTTAGGGGGAGCATGTAGAATGAGAAAGAGAAGGGTTGTGACCCTAAGTAGGGTGGGACAGTAAAGACTAGAGAAGTGGTAGCCAGAGAGGGAGGAGATTTCCATGTGAGGTCAACAGAGCCAAAGGAAGGACTTCAAGATTGGGTGGGAAGCTAGGCCTGTTGGCGCTTGCTTGTAATTCCAGCACTCGGGAGGCTGAGGCAGGAAGATTGCTACAAGTTCTAGGCCAGCCTGAACTACATAAGAGAGAACTTGTCCCCAAAAAGCAAAAAAGGATGGGGGATGTAGCTCAGTGGCGCCGCGCCTGCCTCACAAAGTGCAAGGTCCTAAGTTCGATCCCTGGTACCAAAAACAAAAAACTTGCAAAAACCGAAAGTACAAAAACAGAAAAAGATTGGGGGCAGGGGGTGAGGGGTGGACTGCTAATGCCACACAGCTGTAAGATGGGAAAACCATATTAGATTCAGCCATGAGCAGGTCTCCTCTGACCTTGGAGAGCAGCGTTTGTTTCCACGGGAAAGTAGAAAGTATTCCAGGAAGAGGAGGGGATGCCAACAGAGGCAGGACCGAGCTTCACTGTGGCAGGGAAGAGCCTGAGGAGGGAGGGAGAGGACAAGCTGCTGACAGCCGCCCATCCCGCTGTCACTGTTTTTGGTGGTGCACTCTGACGTGCTGCTCCCATCCTTTGTCACAGAAGCCACATCTGTTTTGGAATGAAGTCCCCAGAAGAGATGCGCCAACAGGCCCACATCCAGGTGGTGAGCAAGAACCTGTACAGCCAAGACAACAACCACGCCCCGCTGCTGTACGGGGTGCTGGACCACAGGATGGTGAGGCATCAGTGACTTCCAGGGAGGGGCCGGGCTACCCCCACCTCCACGCGTAGTGCTGTTCCAGATGCCAATACTATTTCTTCCCTGTTGGCTCTGTGGCCGAGTCCCTGGCCAGGTTGAGGGCCGGGCCCGTGGTGTGCAGTGGTCTCCACTGATTGCCAGCCGTGCTTCCCCCCAAAGGGTACGAGCGAGAAGGACCGACCTTGTGAGACCTGCGGGAAGAACCTGGCTGACTGCCTGGGGCACTACGGGTACATTGACCTAGAGCTGCCGTGTTTCCATGTGGGCTACTTCCGGGCTGTCATCGGCATCTTACAGGTAAGCGTTGAGGCCTTGATTTTCAAGAAACAAATTCTGAGCTGGTTGTGGTAGCAAACTCCTGTAATCCCAGCACCTTTTCATCCTCTCTCATCCTTTGGTTTTTGGTTCCTATTTAAAAGATGATCTGCAAAACCTGCTGCCACATCCTGCTCTCCAAGGAGGAGAAGCAGCAGTTCCTGGATCACCTGAAGCGGCCAGGCCTGACCTACCTGCAGAAGCGGGGCCTGAGGAAGAAGGTGTCAGACAAGTGCCGGAAGAAGAGCCTGTGCCACCACTGCGGGGCCTTCAACGGTGAGCGAGCAGAGGCCACAGCTTGGCCAGGCCCAACTCTAACCCTGGCCGCATGGCAGCCTGTTCTTCTGCCCTGCTACGTGCATTTCCCCTGCAGGTACCGTGAAGAAGTGTGGCCTCCTGAAGATCATCCACGAGAAGTACAAGACCAACAAGAAGGTGGTGGATCCCATGGTGTCCAGCTTCCTGCAGTCCTTCGAGACGGCCATCGAGCATAACAAGGAGGTCGAGCCACTGCTGGGGAGGGCACAGGTGAGCTGCCCATGTCCCACACAGTCACACGCTTGTTCTCTGCCTCTTCTGCCCCCCCCGCCTGCCCTGCACCCACCTTCTCCCCAGAGACGAGCAGCTCACAGAAGTAAGTGCCCCAGGAACACTGCAGTGATTCTCGTGTTCATCTGGAGATTGAAGCCAGGCTGTGTTCAACCGCAGCCCCAGCCACTTCGTGGTTGTTTGTTAGCTGCCCAGCCTGGCCTCAAACTTGCAATGCTCCTACCTCAGCCTCTTGAGTTAGGGTTATAGCTTTAACAGATTTTTAATTGTACAAGTAAAGCATTACTGTTGTGTGTTTTTGGTTTTTTAGAGGGTTTTTTGAGGCAAGGTCTTGCTGTGTAGTGCAGGATGGCCTTGAACTCACCATGCAGCCCAAGCTGGCCTCAAACTTGCAGTGATCTCCTGCCTTAGCCTCCCAAGTGCTGTGATCACAGGCATGCACCACCACACCCAGCTCAACCTTTTACTACCAAGAACAGTTTTTGTGAACATCTTGCAGCAGAATGTTTATGGTCATTTCTGAAACTGTGCCCTTCGAATTAATCATGCAGGGTGGAATTGTTGATCTACACAATCAGGACAAAAGTGCTTGGTACTTTCAGTGCCCTGGCAGCACAGCCTGCCCGGCACAGAGCACCCTGGCGCTGCTTCTGTTCCATCACATGGAGCAGTGCATGGAGAAGCTGAGCCCTGCCAGCCTCTAGCAGCCTAACCCTCTGTCTCCTCCTCTCCTTCCCCCTTCCTGTAGGAAAACTTGAATCCCTTGATAGTTCTGAACTTGTTTAAGAGAATCCCAACTGAAGATGTCCCCCTACTGCTCATGAACCCAGAGGCCGGGAAGCCCTCCGACCTGATTCTCACCCGGCTTCTGGTGCCTCCCTTGTGCATCCGCCCCTCCGTCGTGAGTGACTTGAAGTCCGGCACCAATGAAGATGACCTGACGATGAAGTTGACGGAGATCATCTTCCTGAACGATGTGATTAAAAAGGTCAGTGCTCCTGCTAGCGAGCAAGCCCTGTAGTCTACCCACCGAGCCCTGCGGGGCTAGAAAAAGCAACAGGTCAAACCGACACGGTCTTGCTGCAGCACCGCATCTCCGGAGCCAAGACCCAGATGATCATGGAGGACTGGGACTTCCTGCAGCTGCAGTGCGCGCTCTACATCAACAGCGAGCTCTCGGGCATCCCCCTCAACATGGCGCCCAAAAAGTGGACCCGGGGCTTCGTCCAGCGCCTGAAGGGGAAACAGGGTAGGCTTCTTTTTTTTCAAAAGGCAAATTTTCTTTATGCATAAAAACAGTACTTAAAATGCTTCATTGTGCCAGCAGGGTCCCAATATCACCGTTCACCCTAGAGTCACAGGGAGGCGCTGGCCATCTCTGAAAACTCCTGTCTAGCACTCTCAGAAATTCCTGGCCCCCAGGCCAGTGCACTGGCGTCTCCTCTCCTGCAGAGCTCTACACCAAGCCAACAGACTCATATAGGTGACTATATACAAGCCGGCACCTGTCAGGGTTAGGCCAACATTGAAAGCCACAGGGTCAGAGTGGGCCTGTATAGTGAAAACCAGTCCCCCAAACACAGACACTGATAACAGACAGAAAAGGCAGTTTGTACACTTCTCCCGAATTCTTCTTAGCAGAATCCCCCTTGGATTCTCACCCTCCAACGCCCGTACATTGTGAGGTATTGCTGGTCCTGCAGCACGGGCCTGAAATTCAGTCACTCTGGGAGGCAGGAGGTTCACAAGTTGGAGTCCAGCCTGGGCAATTGAGCAGCCTCGTTTGACTGTGGTACAACAGGTAGCTTTTCAGTAAACAAGTGTCAGAAGTGATTGCCTCTAAAAATAGGCAAAAGCTCTATAAGACAAAATCTGCCTAGAAAAAACTATCAACAGGGTAGACTTCTGAGCAGCCCTGCAGGAGACAGCACCACCTCAGGGACCCTCCTGCTTCAGCCTCCCAAGTGCTGGGATTACTGCCCAGTTTGATGCCCTTCTGAGGAGTAAATGTTGTCCTTAGCCACTTGGAGCTCCCAGACTGTGCATGAGCTCTCTGTTCATGTTGCTTCTAAACAGCACACGGCCCACCAGAGGGACATATGACACAGCATTTGGATTTATTTAGGTCGGTTCAGAGGCAACCTCTCGGGAAAAAGAGTGGATTTCTCCGGCAGAACAGTCATCTCGCCTGACCCCAACCTCCGGATTGACGAGGTTGCCGTCCCAGTTCACGTGGCCAAAATCCTGACTTTCCCTGAGAAGGTAAGGACCATTCAGCTGCCCAATTCTTTGTTAGAAACCCAGCCTTTTATGTTGTAGTTTGCTATTCCAAATTGCAGGAAAAGGAAAGTCCCCAGTAAGCCCCTTGCTGCAGTTTGATTATATGAGTATCAGTATCTTCCAGGTTTGTTTTATTCGTATACAAGCATCTACGACTTACACAGCCATGGTTGTATCTGCCTTTACGTGTGTGGACTCACATATACATTATACTTACTCCTCTGCAACTTCTTTTTCCCATCAGTAATATCTTTGACACCTCTCTGTGGTTGTTTGGGCTTGAACTTGCAATCTTCCCGCTTCCCAGAGCACTGGGATTGTAGGCGTTCACCACCACACTCAGGCCTGTGTTTCAGATGTTAAAACAACTAAATGGTGAACACCATCCCTAGCTCCTAGTTCACCTTCTTGATATGAGATATTTTTAAAACTAGCATAAAGAGCTAAAGAGTCGGAACATTTCAAGGCCAGTACTGCACACCAGAAAGGCTGAGGCCCCTTCCCTCAGCACACAGGCTCCGAGGACATGGGAGGTCTTTCCCAGCCTTTTTTCCCCTTTCTGATTGAATTCTGGGTAACTGCAAGGGCCTGTGCCAGACCCTTGAGATTTGCACTTAGTGCTTTTGGTAAACCTGTGCTCTTTGTGCTCAGGTGAGTGCCCAGTGATCCGAAACCTCTCTCTCGGGGATGCCGTTCCACAAGACAGTAGCCCGAGAAATTACAGGATCCTATGAGGATTGAACCCAGGGACCCTGTGCCACTGAGCTATATCCCTGTCCATTTTCAGCAAAGTAGTGCATTCGGTGTCCTCCTGCCTCAACCTCCCAAGTAACTGGGATTATAGGCATGCACTGAGGCACCAAGCTTGCTGTCACAACTTTTTGTTTTGTTTTTGTTTTTTATCTATTTTTTTTTTAGTACTGGGGATCGAACTCAGGTCCTTGCACTTGCGCAGCAAGCAGCGAAACCACTCGGCTAAATCCCCCGGCCCCTTGTTTTTGTTTTTTTAAAATGGTCTCACTATGTAGTTCACACTGGCCTTGAACTCACTGTCCAGCCCAGGCTGACCATGAACTCACAGCAATCCTCCTGCCTCAGCCTCCCTCCTGTAGGCTGGGATTACAGGCGTGCATCACACCTGGCTATTGTCACAACTTTTTAACCTTAGAAGCCCCTGGTAAATAATCACAGATGAAGATCCCACTTCTTTCTAGGCTCACAGAATGTGCTAGAAGGTCCCTGTACCTCAGTACAGCCTATTCATGTTATGGATGAGAAACCAAAGGCCAGGAAAGGGCTTGGCTGGGCCGCCAAGTTAAGGTGAGACTGAACATAGGCTCCTGTGTGCCAGTCTGATGTTGTTTCACTGGATGCTGTAGGCAGTAGGCTTTTTCTCCTAGAATCCACGAGGAAAGATCAAGACTGTCAGAACCTCAGGTGTGGGAGTACACACCTGCAATCCCAGCACTCTGGGAGGCTGAGCCAGGAGGATTGCAAGTTTAAGGCTATCCTGGGCAACCTAGCAACTCAGCAAGGCCCTGTCTCAAAAGACAAAATAAAAAAGGGGTGGAGATGTGGATCAGTCTGAAGGCTGTGGGCTCAATCTCTAGCCCCGGGGATAGCGGGGGACACCCCTAGGGACAGGATCGGTAGCGTTTGGCAGCTTACAGAAACTCACGAGTATCTCACTGTGTTTTCTATTGTGGTCCCGCAGGTGAATAAAGCAAACATCAACTTTTTAAGAAAACTAGTTCGAAATGGCCCTGAAGTTCACCCGGGGGCCAACTTCATCCAGCAGAGACACACGCAGATGAAAAGGTGCCCCTTCCCCAGCCCAGTGGGTGGGAACTCACTGCCCGAGTCCTCAGCCACGGTGCCCGGCCTGACATGGTGCCTGGGCCGTACGGGCCGTGGAAACGCAGGCTTAGATTCCATGGGGCCCAGAGGTGCAGCCCGGTAGCAAGCGCTTGCCTCACGCTCACACGGCCCCAACTCAGACCTCGGTGCCACAAACATAGGGTGGTAAATGTCCCGGGCCCACCTCTGCCATCGGCTCTGTGTGATTGTTGATTGCATGTGAAGTGCTTGTGTGTCCCCTGAGCAGAAATTTGCTGTGTGTATTTGCTGCTAAATTCTGGACTCCTAAAATTAAAATTGCCGTAATCCCCTATTTCATAACTTCTGCCCTCCCACTTCTCTCACTTTTTTTTGGTCCTGGGCGTTGAACTCAGGACCTTGCACTTTTGAGGCGGGTGCAGTGCCACTGAGCTAAATCCCCAGCCTGTCTCACTTTTTAGTATGAGTAAATTTTTTTCTTTTTTTGTGTAGTTTTTGTTTGGTTTTGGTTCTCCCCCTCCCCCTGCCGGGAATCAAACTCAGGACCTTGCACTTGCAAGGCAGGCGCTTGGTTTTGGTTTTTGAGGCAGGGTCTCTACATAGTTTAGGCTGGCCTTGAACTCATGGCGATCCTCCTGCCTCAGCCTCCCTAGTGCCGGGTTAACAGGTGTGTGCCATAACACCAGCAGTAAAACTTTTTAATTTCAGATTTCCCTAGAGTAGTTCATCTATTTTAAAAAATTTTTCCCCTTCCCTTTTTTTTTGGTACCAGGAATTGAACTCAGGACCTTGCACTTGTGAGGCGGTGCGGTGCAGTGCCACTGAGCTAAATCCCCAGCCCACCCTTCAGTATTTTTGTGTTTGGGTTTTTGTTTTTGGGACCAGGGATCAAACTCGGTTCCTTGCGCTTGCGCAGCAGGTGACAAAACCACTGAGCTAGATTCCCGGCCCTCTTCAGTATTTTTAATAATACAGTGTGGACCTCAATAGACTGAACACCATGGGATCCAGAAGTGGGTCATTTTCTGTGTCCTCACGCCTCCTCTGTCATCCTCGTGAGCCAGGGGTGCTCATTTCACCGGTTCTGGCTACGCGCCAGGAGGAACTGACAGCCTGGGCCTTTTATCGCACGAGAGCCTTTATGGGCAGGGCCCTGTGGGGGAAGCTGGGTAATGACTGTTTCTGTGGCTCTGAGACCCAACTTGTTCACATTCGCATATTTACAAATCAGGGTGTGTCTCACAGTCAGCCTGTCACAGTCCACTGAGCGGTCTGTCCCCCAGACGAGCCGAGCCACACAGGGTGATGTGACAGAGCAGAAGCATCTGGGAGTCCGAGAATATGATCACTGTGGAGAAGGACCCTGCTCAGCCATGGGGAGCTCCGGGTAGAGCACTGATCTCACAATGGTGTTTCTCATTGTGCCTCAGGTTTCTGAAATACGGAAACCGAGAGAAGATGGCCCAGGAGCTCAAGTACGGTGACATTGTGGAGCGGCACCTCATCGACGGGGATGTGGTACTCTTCAACCGGCAGCCCTCGCTCCACAAGCTGAGCATCATGGCGCATCTGGTGCGTGTGAGGTTGCTCTTTTCTTTTGTGGTCACTATGTTTTTTGGGTTTTTGGTTTTTTGTTTTTTTTTTTTGGTCCCGGGGATCGAGCTCAGGACCTTGCGCTTGCGAGGCAGGTGGCAGTGCCACTGAGCTAAATCCCTGGCCCCATTTTGTGGTCACTGTGAAGCCCAGGCTGGCCTGGAACTCGTAGCGATCTTCCTGCCTCAGCTTGCCAGGTGCTGAGGTTATAGTGTGCCATGCCTAGCTTATTTATCCGTAATTTTAATTTTTATTAATCTATGTTTGCAGTATGTAATGATTCCATTCCTCATGGGGTGTTGGTACATGTTCATAACACATCTTAATTCTTTTCACATCCCCTTCCCCTCCTACACTTTCAGGCATCTTAAATAGAAATTTGTTTGCAATGTTTCAAATACACACAGAAGTGGAAAGAATGGTAGAATGCACTCACACGTCCTGTCTTTTGTATGTAAAGTGTCCAATACCTTGCTGCCGGTTTTTGTTCCATCTTCCCCTTCTCTGACACACCCCTGCCATGTGTGCTCCATTTACACCTGTAAGAAAAACGTATCTAGCCCCAGTGCCTGATCACACCTAGTACCGCAAACAGCTGCTCCTTGGTCTTCCCCAGTTCTTACACAGATTTCCTGGGCTCTGGCAGCGTCTCTGTGTGACTCACTTGTTGAGTCAGGGTGAAGTGTGTGCCGCTACCTTTGCTAGAGACATGCATGGCTCAATGTCTGTTGGTGTCCAGCAACTCGCTTCCTTTTCACAGTGTGGAAGAAGCCAGGTCCTTTGTCCTGAAGAGTCCCCTGAGTGCCCCCCTTGCCTGTGGCTGTGGGTGGCGTGAACGCATCCTTCTGCCTTTACCTCTTCATGCCGGAAGTCAGTGTGACTTCTGTGGTCAGATCAGGGCCAGCTTGCTGGTGAGATGACCCCTCAGGCTGCTGCATCCTCCCCTCTGTGGAGGAGGCTCATGTGCTCTGGCCACCCCACTTTTAATTATGCCAAGAAGGTTAGAGATTCAGATGCCTCGGGGCTGTGAGATGAACCCCAGTTTCTGCTGTCTCCTTCTTTCACTTGTGTTACCCAAAGTCTTGCAATGAAATGTTTTCCTGGTACTGGGAAACTCTGGGACTCTACAGTTTATAAAGAAAGGTGACATAAATGGCTAATTCTTTATCCTTTATATCATTTTAGAGATTGAGAAGTTTGGTGCTCGTCACTTCCAACCAGACTAGCTTGGTTACTTATTTGTTTTGACTTTCTCCTTTTCCATTGTCATTATATTATAAACTCTGAAGGCCGGGGAATTTAGCTCAGTGGTTTCGCCACCTGCTGCACAAGCTCAAGTAATCTCCTTCTCCCATTAAGCTTCTGGTACTCAAAACCATGCTATCCTTGGCCCCTGGGAGCCACTGACCCCGGCTGCCATGTCAGCGTCCACCTCATCCATTGCCCTGGTTTGATCACTGAAGCGCCCTTGAGTGAGCCCAGAGACAGCCTGAGTGTCGCCAGAGAACACACGAGACGTGCAGTTGTCCGGGGAGCCGCTCTTAATGTGGTGAACGAGAAGCTTGCTGCTCTGTGCTGAGTTCTTTTCCTGCTTGCTTTTCCACCCTGCAGGCCAGGGTGAAGCCCCACCGCACCTTCCGGTTTAACGAGTGTGTCTGCACCCCCTACAATGCCGACTTTGACGGTGACGAGATGAACCTTCACCTTCCCCAGACGGAAGAAGCCAAAGCCGAGGCCCTGGTCCTCATGGGGGTAGGTAGGGGCTGGACTTGTTAGAGGTGTGGAGATTCAGCCTTTCTTCTCTCTGGTGTTCCATTTTCCTGTATTCTGAACTGATTCTTCGAACTGAACCCAGGGCCTTTGCGTGGAACTACATTGCTCCTCTTTTAAGGTTTTGTTTTTTTTGTTTTTTTTTTTCTTTGGTACCGGGGATCAAAACTTGAGTCCTTGCACTTGGGCAGCAGGCGTCGAAACCACTGAGCTAAATCCCCGGCCCTCCTCTCGTAAGTTTTTTATTTTGAGACAAGATCTTGCTAAATTGCCCAAGCTGGGCTGAAATTTTCAATTCTCCTGCCTCGGCCTCCCAGAGTATTGGGATTATAGGTGTAGGTCACTGTGCACCACTGAACTGATACAGTTGTGTTCCCACCTCAAGAACCACTTGTTACAGTTTCTTTGTTTTTGTTTTAGTTTTTGTGCTGCTGGGGATTGAACCCACTGAACTGCATCCCCAGCCCAACTCGTTACCATTTCCAGTCTGTCGCTTTTTGTTTAGGCCCTTACTGTCCCGTGTGTAGTTTTGGGGTTCTGACTTGGTTATATGTGTAGGTTTTTTCCCTCTGTAATGGATGTGTATTACTGTTAGAAGGAAAAATCATGTTTAAAATCTTCTTTTTTTTTGGTACCGGGGATCAAACTCAGGACCTTGTGCTTATGAGGCAGGTGGCGGAACCGTTGAGCTAAATCCCCGGCCCTAGAATCTTACTAGCATAAGAGCCACCACTTGCTATGATCTATGGTCATTAGACTTTGGCATGCAGGACCTATAGTGTTGGACCTTTCCAGAATACGCAGCACTGCACCCGTGCCCTTCCCCCCCCCCGCCACCTGCTGGCCCACCTCAGGGTTCCCTGAGGCAGAGGGAGGGGAGCTGGCCAGCAAGACCTGGCACTGAACCACAGCTGAGACATCACCACCCTGGGAGGTGGTTGAGAAGTGGCTGCCCTAGTGTGATAGCAAAGGGTCCAGAAAAGTCACAGGTGCTCGAGGACCCCTCCCCGTCAACATCAGAGTGACCGGACTCTGATCTGAGGAGGATTTCCTCCCTCCTTCCACCTCTCACCGCCACACCCGGCACTGGGGATGAACTCCAGGGCCTCTGGTGTGCTATGTAGGTGACCTCCCAGGCCCTGCCACTAAGTACATCTCCAGCCTCACAGAATTAGATTCTGTTGTCGAATTGGTTGTGGTTAAAACTTAATGTCTCAACCAAGAGAGAGATTTAACAATTTTGCCATTATTGTGGAGATACGTGGAACTGGCTGTGTTAGTTACTTTTCTCTCATTGCTGAGACAAAATACCTGGCACCCAAAGTTAAAGGGGAAAGGTTTATCTGGCTGACAGTTCATAGAGCTTTCAGTCCATAATCAGCTGGCTCCAAGGCAAAGTGGCAGAGGGGCAACAGTTCATGGCAGTGGAAAACAGCAAAAGCAATAAGAGACCTTTACAGCATCTTTCTGCCCCTTTTATTCAGACTGCTTAGGGTGGGCAACACTCAGCGCCCTTAATCCTAGTGCCCTCAGGCCTAGCCCCACCATGAGTCAATCACACACTCCAGATTCAGCCACCTCTGAAAGAGCATGAGGCTTTGGGGAGACATCTAGCCACGAGCCATAACACTGGCTTCACTGAATCACAGTGCTAATCATCCACAAGAATAAAATTTTTTTTTGAGAAGTCTACTTATTAATAAGAATAAGAGACAGAATAGAGTTCTTTCGAGAATTCTTCAACACCCTCGCTCCTGTCTTGTGTTAGTGTTGACGTGAACCTCCAGGTCAGTCATGCTGGTGTTTTTTCTCTCCCTTGGACATACGAAGGAGCTGGGAGGAGGGGCGAAGCCAGGAGGAAGCCCTGGCTCCCACTTCTCAGCCTTGTCTTCCTGCTGTTATTTGTCTAAAACAATTTGAAACATCGTGCAGCCAAAGATAGCTAATGTGCTGTGCTTCTTTTTCCTTCAGACGAAAGCAAATCTTGTGACCCCAAGGAATGGGGAGCCACTCATTGCTGCCATTCAGGATTTTCTAACAGGTGGGTGTGGGAAGCCCTCTTGAAAGCAGGTCTGGAAGTTGGGTGCACTGATTCTTGTTCATGGTGATGCCTGTGTTGACTCAGAGGGCTTGGGAGTTATCTGTTGAATTCTGTTTGTTCACTAAGTTTGGTTGCAATCCTTCTTGAAGTATTTTTATTGTTCATTGATTCAAGAAGTGCGTATTGAACTCCCCCCTGGACTGGGCACAGTCCAGGCCTGGTGTCTGGCCCTGCGTCGGTCCCCTGTGTCGGGTAGAGCGGTGAATAAAACGTGCCTTCCTGTGGAGCTTAGAGTTGAATGGGGGAGGAGCCAGGAAGTGGCTGTGTTTCATTTCATGCTACTCATAGCAGTCCAGCTTTATGGTAAAGTTGAAAGTTGTGGGCTCTCCCGTTTTCACCTTTTCTGCTCTGTGTTGGCCATTGACCGTCTTAGGGGCCTACCTGCTCACACTCAAGGACACATTCTTCGACCGAGCCAAGGCCTGCCAGATAATCGCTTCCATACTGGTGGGCAAGGATGAGAAAGTCAGAGTTCGCCTCCCACACCCTGCCATCTTGAAGGTGCATGCACATGGGCGTGCATGGATATCCCTGTGGGTGGCCGGGTGGAAGGAGTGTGGCTGGGTGAGTGACTGAGTGTAACTGGGGCTGCGGTCAGTGGCTCGACCCCCAGCCTGACGGATGGTCAGGACCAGCCTCACCCCTGACTCTCTGTCCTCCTGTGCACCTCAGCCAGTCACCCTGTGGACCGGAAAGCAGATCTTCAGCGTCATCCTCAGACCCAGCGATGACAATCCAGTGAGGGCCAACCTCCGCACCAAGGGCAAGCAGTACTGTGGCAAGGGGGAGGACCTCTGCGTCAATGATTCCTGTGAGTGGAAGGAACTGGGCTGGGAGGTGTGGCTGCAAAGCTTGCTTGGAATTGGCTTCATTGGGTCCCGGAAGTAGCAAACAAATCCAGGGTTTCTCCTGGGCTCTGGAAGGAAGTTAGTCCTTTTGAAAAATGTAGCTCCTGTATCTTCTCTTAGGTGTTATTCCCCCTTTCTCTTGATGTAGACATCACATGGTATCCAAAAATGTGCTCCATATCTGAAGGTACAACTACTAAATATAGCAAGACTTTTTTGAGGGGTGCTGGGGATCACACCCAAGGTCTCACTCAGGATGTGAGGCAGACTCCACCACACAACCCCCAGCCCTGAGCTACTCAATAACATGAGGACCAGGTATAACGGGGAGAGGATTTCAGTGCACATCATCTGACCCAGTCCAAAGCCACACTACTCAGGTGAAGTCCACGGACCAGTGTCATCCAGCCATGACCTTCTGATGCGGCTTCTCACTACTCCCCACTGCCCAGAGCATGGATTAAATGACTCCCTGAGCCCCACACTGAGGAATGGATTGCACAGGTTCTCTGAAGGTCGGGGTTGGTATTGTCTCACATTGTTTTGAAGGGTGCTGATCTTCCTTGGTTTATTCCCTTGGATATACACCTCCTAGAGGTGTAGCTCAGTAGTAGAATGGCTACTTAGCATGCACAAGGCCCTGGGTCCACTTGTGGTGCTGGGGATTGAGCCTCACACATGCTGAGCACCCACTCTACCACTGAGCCAGCTACACACCCCACTCTAGCCTCTTTTTTTTTTTTTGGTACTGGAGATCGAACTCAGGACCTTGCACTTGGGAGGCAGATGGTGGAACCACTGAGCTAAATCCCCAGCCCCTAGCTTCTTGTTTTAGGTTTTCTTTTCTTTCTAGCTATGAATGTCATGTTGTTGTTCTGTTCATGACGGTGCCTGTTCGTTTTCAGTAATTTAGGTGAATAACAACTTGCTTCACAGTTAACAAAGGACTTTGCAGTACATGATCTCAGCTGATGCTCATAATATCCCATGACACAAAGATAACGTGTAAGCCAGGCATGGTGGTGCATGCCTGTAATCCCAGCACTAGGGAGGCTGAGGCAGGAGGATCGCTGCAAGTATGAGGCCTACCTGGGCTACGTAGTGAGACCCTGTCTCAGAAAACCAAAATTCAATAAATAAGCGTTAGTTCCTGTGCCTAACCAGCATCGTGCTTGCAGACGTCACCATCCAGAACAGCGAGCTGATGTGTGGCAGCATGGACAAAGGAACCCTGGGCTCGGGCTCCAAGAACAACATCTTCTACATCCTGCTGCGGGACTGGGGGCAGAATGAGGCCGCCGATGCCATGTCCCGGCTCGCCAGACTGGCCCCCGTCTACCTGTGTGAGTGTCGCTGCCGCGCATTCCTGACTGTGTCCCCCTCCTGTTGTCCCCAGCTGAGTCCTCTGTGGTGTCACTGATGGCTCTGACTTGGAACTCCAAAGCTCTGAGCTCCCTGCTGCACCGTGCTGGGTCTTGTGCTCTAAAATGCCTGCGCGGGCTGCTGCCAGGGCCCTGGGGCCTCCAGGGTGGGCCTGGCCTGGGGCTCAGTGTTGCCCGAATGGCCCAGCGCTGCGCTCTTTCCCTTGTCTCCTTGTGCTTTGAGGGTGGCACGAGCCACATGACTTTTGTATGCCACGGGGAAAAAACTTTACCCATGTAAGTGACTGACTCGGTCTCTGGAAATAAAATTCTAGGTTGAAGATTCTTTTTCCTCAGACTTTTGAAGGTGCTGCTGCTGTAGTCTGTCTGGCTTTCAGAGTCGTTGAAGCATATAGCTATTCTTCTTTTCAGATTTTGTATTGGAACATTTTTTTCCTTCAGGGCATGCAGGATCCTCTCCTTACTCTTGTTCCGAAAGTTCACAGTGAGGTCCCCTCGCTGCAGGTCTTCCCATTTCTCAGGCTGCAGCATTCACTAAGCTTTTTGCATGGGTGCTGGGGATTGAAGCCTGGGCCTCCTACCTGCTGACTTGCCCTCTACCGGCCGGCTGTGCCCCAGCCCCTCACTAAGCTCCTTTAACCTACATCCCTGGCCTGGACTTCCAGACCTGTGCTTGGGTTTCTCCTTGGTAATTCCAGCCTTGATTTTCACTCTTCTTTCTTTTTGGGGACCTCTTTAATTGCTTACAGCTCTTGGATGCTCTCTTATTTTCTTATTTTTACCTACTTCTTTTTTGTTGTGTTTTGTTTTGTTTTTGCGTTTGCTTTTGAGATAGGGTGTCCCGGCTGACCTCGGACTCACCATATAGCCCTGGCTGGCCTCAGATTCATGATCCTTCTGCCCCTGCCTCCCAGATGCTGGCATCGTAGGCATGTGGCCCACATTTCTTTACTCTAGGTTCATTTTGGGGAAGGGGTTGCTTTTCGTCTAAGTTCTTTTTTATCTTTTTAACACTTTTCTTGTTTTTAAAATGGTTTTTGCATGATGTATTTATTTGTTACTAATATATTTTATTTTATCCCATTTCCCTCCTTAAGCTGTATGATATATTTAATTTGCAGTCATACGTTTCATTTTTCTTATTTGCAAGTAGGTGGGAGTTTTTCCTTTGTATTATTGGTTGTTTTGGGGTTTTTTCTGTCTGCCTTGTTCTAGGGTTTTTTTGGTTTTTTTTTTTTTTTTTGGTACTGGGGCTCAAACTTGGATCCTTGCGCTTGTGCAGCAGGCGGTGAATCCATTGAGCTAAATCCCTGGGCCTCTTGTTCTGGTTTTTACAGATATCTTCTTTGATCCTTCTGAAAGAGTGCTGCCTTACTATGTTTGCTACATGAATTTCCCATATCCTTTCCGTTTCTTTTCTCGGCATATTTGGTCTTGTCTATCATATTAAAATCTTTCCTGAAATACGTGGTGGTCCCTGGCCTTGCAATCATGATTTAGGTGTTAGGCAATGAAATACTGATTGCCAATGCAGCCACCTGTGTTCGTTTCTTACTGTACCTAGTTTATTAATCAAACTTTATCACAGGTGGGTGTGTGTAGGGAAAAGCACAGGAAGTGCAGGGCTTGGCACTGAGCAGTTTCAGGCATCCACGGGAACCCTGGGCTATGTGGAACGCGTCCCCGAGATGGGGCTGCTGACGGCACAGGCGAGTGTGCAGGGGTGAGCCCCCTCCTAGCTTCCCTGAGTAGTGCTTATGTCTCTTCCACTTCGCCTGCCACCTCTTCACAGCTAACCGGGGCTTCTCAATTGGGATCGGGGATGTCACGCCTGGCCAGGGCCTGCTGAAGGCCAAGTACGAGCTCCTGAATGCTGGCTACAAGAAGTGCGATGAGTACATTGAGGCCCTGAACACGGGCAAGCTGCAGCAGCAGCCCGGCTGCACCGCCGAAGAGACACTGGAGGTGAGGCCACCACTCTGCTTCCGGTCAGCAAGCGGCTGCATGGGGGTCTGCAGGACTGGGCCACAAACCCTGGAGAAAAGGTAGCAGAGGAACAGGAAGTAAGGGCGGTGGCAGCTCTGCATTGCAGCCTGGCTGTGCAGTTGTTTGTTAACAGGGCAGGCCCTGTGATCAGGTCATTACTTCCAGCTTCTAGGCTCTGAAAGCAGCCATCCGTTTACACGGCCATACATGCTGCTCTTGTTCTGACCTCATACCTGGCTCTGTGTGATGCCAGTGCTTCTGTCTTCACCCTTCAGTAGAAACTGCAGCACAGCTCTCAGTGGATGGTTTTTCTGGTTTTTTGAGACAGAGTCTATGTAGTCCAGGCTGGCCTCGAACTCATAGTGATCACCCTGCCTCAGCCTCCTGAGTGCTGGTGTTACAGGTATGCACCACCATGCCTAGCTTGGATGATCTTTAAAGACACTGGGGTCAGGTGTGGTAATGCATGCCTGCAATCCATCCCAGCATTTCTCAGGCTGAGGCGGGAGGGTCACCATGAGTTTGAGACCAATCTGGGCTGTGTTTTGAGACCCTGTCTCAAAAAAACAAAGAAAAAGAGAGACTGAGACACAGGAGAGGGAGAAGTCATGTCTGATAGTCATGTCCCCAGCCTGCCGCTCCTCCCATTTGAGACCAGCTTAGTTGAGGGCTCCTCCAGTGTGGGTCAGAATCAGAGACACTGCCACCCCCAGGAGCCTGACATGCACTCAAGAGACAGCTCCGCAGGCTGGGGCACCAGGATTGTGCCCGGGTCTCCTCTGCCCTGTGCCGTGCCTGTGGCTCTGAGACTTAACTCACCAAAGTGAGGACAGAAGGGCCCTGGCGCAGTAGGACGCTTTCTACTGAGATGAGAGATTGGAAGCATGAGAAGCCAGAATTGTGTGAGATCACTGTTAGCTCATTCTTCATCTCATCTCACTCATTCCTAGAAAGGAGAGAGATTACGTGGGTGTTGCTCACCAGCACCTAGCTGGAAAATGACACGAGCCCTTGGCAGGATCGGTTGTTGGATTCTGGGGACAGGGTCATGGTATGTAGTTCAGGCTGGCCTTTTTTTTTTTTTTTTTTAGGTACCGGGGATCGAACTCGGGTTCTTGTGCTTGCAAGGCAGGCAGTGGAACTACTGAGCCAAATCCCCGGCCCCAGGCTGGCCTTGAACACACCACAATCCTGCCTCAGCGTCCCAAGCGATGAGATTTCAGACATATGCCAGGAGCAGTTTTTAACAGAGCTCTGGCTCCTAACTGATTTGGTGTTAGGAGTTGGACACAAGTGATGATCTGTGGATGCACTGGTGGGCCAGAGTGTCCCCCAGGGTCACCTCAGCACATGCTCGGCTGGTGCAAATTCAGATGTGTTCTGGCAAGAAAAAGACAAGTTGCCTAAATGGCACAAGCAGTCCCTCTTACCACCAGCACAGTGTCCTGTCAGGTAGGGGTGCACGCGCGAGTGTGCACGGTGGTGTGTACAGATACGGTTGTGTGTACAGATACGGTTGTGCAGCCTGCTTTGTGGACTGTGTAACTGACCTTTCAGGTTTTTGTGACTTAGCACGTTTTGCTCCACACACCAATTCCAGAACTTTGTAGAAGACACGGGGATTTTAATAAATGAGGCCATTTTAGTCATCTCGGGCTCAGAAACTTACTGACTGGACAGCTGACATCGTGCTCTGAGCATCTGTGACCCGAAGAGCCAGTGCACACAACCCTAACGCTTCTCCTCCTCCCCACAGGCCCTAATCCTGAAGGAGCTGTCGGTGATCCGAGACCATGCAGGCAGCGCCTGCCTCCGAGAGCTGGACAAGAGCAACAGCCCCCTCACCATGGCGCTGTGTGGATCCAAAGGTGCGGGCACCTGTGTGTGGGCTGGGAGTGGCCTGCGGTGGTCCTGACTGCGAACAGGCTTGGAGCCAGCAGAGAGGGCTCCTCAGTTCTCTGCATTTTAGGAAGTTTAACTCCTATGGAGGAATAATGTGGGTGGATTTCTGAGTTTGAGGGCTTTTCAGCAAATTTGACCTTAGAAGGAACCTAAGGATTTTTTTAGTAATGTATTTAATGTTGTGGCCAAATACTTTAATTTCGTAGGTACCCAGGTGCAAGTTTCATAGTGCTGCATTCACATGAGAACCTCAGCCTTCTGCTGTTTCTGGGGAGTTTTTGCAGAATAAAGTGCAGACTCTTTAACTTGAGTGCCTTTTACTCTCTTCTCCTGCTTTCTGTTCCATGTACCTGGCATCTACCCCACACTTTCCCATTCCCCCATCTGCTTGGTATTTTGGGTATTTTTTGTTTATTTGTTTTGGTGTTTTTATTTTATTTTGTTTTATTTTATTTTATTGAGACAGGGTCTTGCTACATATTCCAGGCTGGCCCTGAACTCACTATGAGGTCCAGGCTGGCCCTGAACTTGTGATCCTCCTGCCCCAGCCTCCCAAGCATAATCATTGTAGGCATGCAGCACCACACCTGGCTCCATTCCTCCGTCTTTGCGTCTTACTCTTCTACCCCTCCCAACCCTGCTTTGTGTCCAAACTATATATCCTCTAAAGTCCAGCCTAGTGACTGCTACCTTCTTAAAGACAGCTGGCCAGGTATGGTGGCACACACGTCTGCAATTCCAGGAACTCAAGGCCGAGGTAGAAGGGTCCCAAGTCTGAAACCTTCCCAGGCGGCTTAGTGAGACTCTGTCTCAAGATAACATTTTCAAAAAATTTAGGATCTTAGGACAGTGGTGGAAAACTTGCCCATCATGTGCAAGGCCCTGGTACATCCCCAGTACAGAAAAGAGAGAGAGAGAGATTCACCTAGCTCTTCCCCAGCCTGCCCCCCAACCCACTGGTGCTCCCAGGCCCCTGTCGCCTCACTGCCTTGCCCTGGGGCTGACCACTCCACCTGGCCCCAGCCCTTCTATCCCCCTTGTCATGCGTACGGGCCTTGCTGGGCCCTCTCTGAGTCAGCCCTCGCATCTTCATGCGCTCGAGTGAGTAGGTACATTCTGGACCTCTCCCCAGGCTCCTTCATCAACATCTCACAGATGATTGCCTGCGTGGGGCAGCAGGCCATCAGCGGCTCCCGCGTGCCAGACGGCTTTGAAAACAGGTCCTTGCCTCACTTTGAGAAACACTCAAAGGTAAGTGGGAGTGGATCTGGTGAGTTTGGAAGGCCTGTTTGTTCAGATGGTCCTCCGAGGATGAAGAGCAATCCAGACACGAGACCCTTGGCCATTTTTATTTAGGCAGATGTTTTCCAGTCACAGTGTCTGTCCATTTAAAGTGTACAGTTCAGTGCTGTCAGTCTGTGCATCCAAGGTGTCATGTACCCCTCACCCCAGGCTACTTTTAGGACCATTTCTGTGCCACAGAACGTAACCCTATAAACATCAGCAGCACTGGGCTATTTTGGAGGTAGACAGATCTGCCCACAGGAAGCCCATGAAGAACATTATTTCCTGGGGAATGAACTTAGGTTTCCTCTCTTGCACCACTTGCCTGCCCCAGTGCTCCTGTCCCTAGTAAGGCTGGTCTGTCCAAATCATGTCTCTTAGGCAGGAGCAGGTGCTGTCTCACAGGAACAATTGCCCGGCTACTTGTAGTCTAAAGGGGGACTTTTTTTTTTCCGTCTGATTCTCTTTTTCTTCCCTCCCTAGCTCCCAGCTGCCAAAGGCTTTGTGGCTAACAGCTTTTACTCTGGTTTAACACCAACTGAATTTTTCTTCCACACCATGGCTGGCCGGGAAGGCTTAGTAGACACAGCTGTGAAGACAGCGGAAACTGGATACATGCAGGTAACCGGAAGAAGCAGGGCCCTGAGCACCAGGCAGGACGGGGCATGGCAGCTGTGGCTGCCCAGTGTGTATGGGTTTTGCACAATAAGCTCTAATTTATCTCCTCTCAAGGGGAAAATTTCAAAATGCGGGTGCATTTTGAAAAGAACAAAAATATACTAATGTATTCCACATCATCGTGTGTACTTCGAATGACCGAGGTCAGCTGGAGCCACACAGGCCACAGCTACACTAGAGGGGGGCCTGTGCCAAGATATGTCCCAGACCAGGCCACCAAACCTCCCACACCTGAGTCCCAGCATGTGGAGAGTGAGTGATGGCACATTATCAATAGCATTCCCAGCCCACCTGGCAACTGTTTACATCATTCAGTATTAAGATGTCGATTGGCTTCACTAGCATCATTAGAGGGAAAGCTGCTTTGGTGTGATGACAGACTCTGGGGCACAGGCTAAAGTGGAGGGTTACCTGTGCTTGGGTTTTGTGGGGGGGGCCATTTTTTGTTTCTTGAGAGTTTTGAGGGGGTTGGAAACAGTCTTGCTGTATAGTTCAGGCTGCCTTGAACTTGCTATGTAGCCAAGGCTGGCCTTGAAATCACAGCAGTCCTGCCTGAGCTTCCCAAATGCTAGGATTACAGGTACGTGCCACCATACCTGGCTTGTGCTTGTGTTTTATGCCTTGCCACAAACATGCCCCAGTGGCAGAGGACTAAGAACTGTCCCTTCTGTGTTCTTCATGAGACCACAGCAAGGCTTTCTTTTAAGTCTCCAATGACTGTATCTTCTCTCTGCTCCATGACTTACTGCATATTTGTGTGGTGTTTTTTTCTTCTGGTGGTGCTGGGCATGGAACCAGGGCTACCGCTGTTATGGCCCCCCACAGTCTTCAATATTTTTAACTACTTCCAGCATCCGTTAAGGTTGACACTCCAAGTTGCTGGATCCCCAGCCTTGTGTCTTCTCCATCCCCTCTCTGGGAGCTTGCCCCTCGCCTACAGGGAGCTAGGATTGCTAAGCCAGAGACTGAAGCACCCAGAGCACAGGAAGTGGAGAGGGTGGAAATGGAGTCATGGACACTGATTTCCAGGTCTCTTCCTGGACCCTTTTGAGCATGAGCTGATACAGTCAGCTTCTGGTGGAAAACTTCCTCCGGTATTGGAGTGTACTGCTGCTTTCACAAACTCAGCAACTCTGAGATGCTCTTGCCAGGATGTGCTTTGCTTTTTGTCTTTAACCTTTTGAAGCATTAGTTTCTGTTAGGGAGAAGAGGGGAGGCGAAGCTGCCTAGGAAAATAGGCCGAGCTTTGGGCAATGATGCTGCTCACACTGCAGGAATTCCAGGTGCACAGAGGTGCTAGGACATGTTTTATCTTCCTGCATGGGCTGGGCAGGCGCTCTTAGTAGTGTTAGTCTCGGGGTCAGGAGGTGTTTTTAAAGGATTTCTAGTAGTCTTTTTATATGCTCTCCCCCGCCCCCAGTACTGTGGATTAAACCCACAGCCTCTCACTGAGTTACATCCTTAGCCCTTTAGCCCTTTTTTCAATTTTTTTGTTTTGAGACAAGGTCTTGCTAAGTCCCTAAGTTCCCCAGGCTGGTCTGGAACTTAAAAGTCCTTCTGCCTCAGCCTCCCAGAGTGCTGGGATTAGAGATGTGCACATCACGCCTGGCTTTTTATGTGCTTAAAGTTCTTGCACTGTAGCCTTGGGCTGGGCGTGTGGCCCAGTGGTAGTGTTAGTATGCACAGACCCTGGCACTGCAAAACAGAAAGTGCTTGTGCCCTTGAAACCTCGAGTCGCAAACCCCATCCTCTGTGTGGGTGATGGCGGTGATGCAGTGGTGCCCTCTCCCCTTCTTCCTTCAGAGACGGCTTGTCAAGTCCCTCGAAGACCTCTGCTCCCAGTACGACCTGACAGTCCGCAGCTCCACTGGCGACATCATCCAGTTCATTTACGGGGGAGATGGCTTAGACCCTGCAGCCATGGAGGGCAAGGATGAGCCGCTGGAGTTTAAAAGGGTTCTGGACAACATCAGAGTAAGAGCCTCAGAGCACTTCTGGGGAGGCCAAGCTGCAGGGCCATTCAGAACATCAGCTTGGACTTCATACACTGGGCACCCCTGCCTGGGCACGGGATTAATATTTTTCTCGCTGTGTTACTCTGCATAATTTTCAGCATTCAAAGGAAAAGATATCTATTTGAAAGTCTAATATTGGCAGCAATCAAATGCCACTTGTAAGGCTTTTGTTTCTCTCTGTGTCAAGTAGAGCTTACTCCAGACCAGTGTCTATGTCTTGACAGTGAAAGCAGGCTTGTTTCACATCCGTTACCTGGGAGTTTAATTTGGAACGACCCCTTGGGGCTAGTTTGACAAAACTGATCTGGCTTTACACATGTGAGTCTTTTGACCCAGCGGTTCCATGTATAGAAATTCACCCCACCGAAGTGGCCTAAACATTTTTCCAGGTTGATGCAGTGGAGGAGCCATCAGCAGTGAACAGGTTACACCCTCAGTGTGAAACCTTTTTGGTACCAGGGATTGAACTTGGGTCCTTGCACTTGCACAGCAGGCAGCAAAACCACTGAGCTAAATCCCCGGCCCCAACAGTGTACATTTTTAAGCAAATCTGGGGCTGGGATAGAGGTTGGGAAATAATGGAACAACACCCACCAAAGGAGGAAGACTTTGCCATAAGATCCAGCATGAGTTTATCTGTTCACGTTCACATGGAAGGTAGGCAGGTGTGGTGGCACATGCCTGTAATCCCAGCACTGGGGAGGCTGACAAAGGAGGAGCACCGAGTTCAAGGCCAGCCTGAGGTACTATATCATGAGACCCTGAGTTAGAAAGATACAGGCAGAGAAGATGAGTCCGTAGTTTGTTTCAGAAGAAAAATGACAGGTTGCTAAAAGCCCACCTGGGTGATATCTGGGACATTGCCTCACATGTGCCACCCCACCCCCCACCCCACACACCGCTGTTTCCTTTCCCTCCTCAGGCTGTCTACCCCTGTCCAAGCGAGCCTGCTCTCAGCAAGAATGACCTGGCCCTGTCCTCTGAGGCTATCATGAAAAAGAGCGAGTTCCTGTGCTGCCAGGACAGCTTCCTGCAGGTATGCGCTGCCCACCTGCTGGCACCAGGACCCTGCGTGCCAAGCACTGCAGGTGGATTTGATAAGCTCAGGGTGTGGTTGGAGTTTTTTGTTATACTTCAGAGTTTTCATTGTTGCATTGCTGGGGATTGAACCCAGGACCTTGGCAGTGATGAGCAGGCACTCTGCCACTGAGCTACACTCCAGCCCTGGTGGTGTCTTGTTTTTAACACACAGTTGTTCCTGTATTAAGGGGCTCAAAAATGGCCTGGGCAGAGGCTCACTGGTCAGCATGAAGAACTCCACCTCATGTCTCACAAATGTGGTTCTCTAGTGGAAGAGAACATGGGAAAAATGGTTCGAGTCCTGATGCTATCAGCAGCCCCCTGCCCTCTTCCTTACCCTGGGCACCATTCCTTTGTTAGCTATTCCAGGATCCGTTGGGATTGCAGTAGTAGTGCTACTTTACTGCCATGAATTTTTTTAAATATTATTTTATTGGTACATTCTAGATATACAATACAATGACATTCATCCTTGGAAATTTGCACCTTTACAAAATCTCTCTTGGTTCTTATTTTTCCCCCTTTCCCTGCCCCCCCTTCAACCCCTCCATCCCTCCCTATTTACAAAGACTTTTGTTTCCATTTTTCATTTTCTCATATTAATTCCATTCCCTTCATTCCTTTCCCCTACCCCTCCCGCTTCCCCTTCCCCTTTGCCCCTTTTCTTGCTATTTCACATTACCTCTTATACCTTTTAGTCCTTATTTACACTGCCATGTATTTTATTTTATTATTTTTTTTTTTTTTTTTGCTGCCATGTATTTTAAATTGCTGTTTCCTTATTACTGTGGATCACCTCCATGGAGCCTTGCTTATTCTCTGTGTTACCTTGATACCCTCTTGTGGATCTTCTGCTTGGCTTTGTTTTGGGTTTTGTTTTTTCTTTCTTTCTTTCTTTCTTTCTTTCTTTTTTTCTTTTTTTGGTATGGGGATCGAATTCAGGACCTCGCGCTTTCGAGGCAGGCATCGGTACCACTGAGCTAAATCCCTGGCCTTGTTTTGGGTTTTTAATTGTGCAAACTTCCTTCACCTTCTTTGTTGTGGTTCAGATCAAAAACTAAAGGTAGAGCAGTCAGTAATCAGTTGCCTTGGTGCACTGATTGTAATTCCGATGCAGCAAAGGAGCAGGCTGGCAAGAGCTTCGCTCAGTATAGCACAGTGAGACTGAAGGGAAGCTCAATGAGAGTGGGTCTGCTAAGGGAGCCCCGCCCGCTTACCCTGCCCCGCCCCCACCCCGCCCCCTCTCCCTCTTCCATGCAGTTACCAGCAAGGAAGAAGGAGCCTCTTCTGAGTTTCAGTGGTTACCTCAGGCTATGGCGGGCCTAAGTGCCTTTGGTTTTTTCCTCAGTTTTCTTCCTCTCTTTTTAAAAAATATATTAGATTGCAATTTGGTTTTTCTACAGACTGTGCTTAATTCTTTATTTTTCTCTTTGCCCTCGAAGACTTTAACTGAGACAAGCTATGAGAAGTACAGCAAGGTGCCTTTCTCACATAGTTCAGTTGCTGAGCAGAGGTTAATTGGGGGACTGCAGCTCTTCACCGGCCTCAGAGACAACACATTTCGGTCCCAATTCTGGCACACACGGGCTTTGTTTTGCACCACTCCTTGTCTTGCTGGTGACCTCCTGATGGGCAGTGTCTGTTCACTGAGACTGATTTAACCACACCATGTGTCACCACATGGCAGACCAGGGATGAAGGATAACTAACTGCCTGTCCCTGCCCTCTGGGGGCGCTATCACTGGTGGGCTCAGATGGGTCTGCAATCCACTGCCCAGGGCAGCTGTCTGAGCTGTCAAATGTTCTCCAGCCCTGGCTTGAACCAGACCTGAGTGGCCCTGGGCCTGGCCTGCCCAGGGCTACCACTGTGCTGGGCATGTGGCTGAGTGTGAGATACTTAACAGCTGGTTAATTCATTGGGCTCCTTGTCGTGGGCTCCCTCTAGTGTGCATGGGTTGTTGATTGGACCGAGTTATTAATACCTTACTTCAGTTTTCCCTCCCACCAGATGAGCTTTGCCTTTTCTTTTTTTTTCTAACCAAACTTCCACAATCTGTCCCAACCTCTGTGTAAAGAAAGTCATTCCTTCCTTGTCCATGTGGTGACGCCAGAAGTAATCCCTGGTGCATACTGGGCCGTGGTTTGGTGTCTGGCCTCTCACTCCTGGGGCACACAACTCCTCCCAGATGAGCCCCCCTGGGTCAGCCTGGCCTGGGGCGTTGCTCCTGTTTCCCCATACCAACAGGTGAGGCAGCTTTCAGCGCCTGGCTGTCAGATGGCAACAGTCAGGCTACTAGGGCCAGCCATGGCCATACAGCAGCAGGGGCGACATCAGTGATGCGGAAGAGGCACTTTTTTCCCACTGAGTGCTACAGCAGGGAATTGAGTGCTGTCTGGCATGTCCTTCCCCTGCTCCTCCGATTCTGAGTTCTCCCTCTGATTTGCAATAACCGGCACTGCTGGCAAGTGGAGCCTTGGGTTCCTGATTAATGAGTCTGGAGAGTTTCTTTCAGAAGCAGCCTCTTGAGAATTTTCAAGTTCTTGGAAATTAATAAAAGTCCTTTCTTAAACAAAAGTCCTTCCATGTGTCCCCACGCCTTCCCAATGGGAAGAAAGAGTGGCCAGCGAGCCAGTGCAGCAGTCAAGAGAAAGCTCTGGGCCAGCTGGCCTCCTGGAGAAGATTATCCCAGTGAGCAGAGGCGACACCACAGAAACCCCTGTCCCGGCAGCAGACTTTAGGGAACGAGTTGGACCTCCTTTGGCCCCTCAGCTCTTGCACCCTAGCCCTCAACTCTGTGCTGACAGGGTTTACGCTGTGTGTCTCATGAGGAGGCCTCACAAGCCAGGCAGCACCTGGCCCAAACAGCAGGTGAGCCGGGGACCAATGCTAAGGCTGTTTAAGCAGAGGAACCGTAGCTGGCCAGGGGTGGTGATCCATGCCCAGACCCCCAGCTACTGAGAAGGCTGAGGCAGGAAGATCCCTCAGACCCAGGGGTTTGGCCCAGCCTGGGCAACACAAACGAGATCTGAAAGAGAAAAAGAAATAAGTTCTAATGTTTTGTTCTCAGAAAAGGGAATAACTAGAAATTTCTAGATAGTCTGTAGATAAAGAGGTTTATTTGAGGGAGGTTAAGATAGATGGAAGCTACGGAGCCATAGCTGGTGCCTTTCAGGGTTTTGGACAAGTGGGCTTCTCGTTCAGTCTGCTTGCATACTCTTGTTTTGTGCTTAGACGTTCGGCTGTGTACCCGGGCCTCTCCCCCAACAGGTTGCTTCAACCTGCCCCAGAGTTGAGAAATGAGACCCCCTGTGTGTAACCCCCTCACCCTGCCCACTCGTCCGCTTGCATCTGTCTGTCCTAGGCTGGTCACACACAGTAGGGTGCTGTCACATCAGGCCCCCACAACCTGTCCGGAACCCTAGTGGTTGCACTCCTGGATGCCGTTGCAGGGAGATGCCTGCATCCACTCTTCCCCATATTCTCAAAACACCCCTGGGTCAAAGCAGTGCGGCTTGATGGCCCTGGTGTCTGCCCCGCTGTGAGCAGGCTGCTAGCAGGAGAGCTGGCCGTCCAGGAGACATGGTGGGCCCGGCCTCTCCCCCAGACATGCTGACGCTGAAAGCCACCTACCTGCCTTGGGGAGCTCTTCCCTTCCTCCTTGCTCTGTGTTGGCAGTCTGAGGCCTAAGTGGGGCCCCAGAGCCCAGCGGAAACAGCAAGTGCACTCATGTGCCACATCTGCCTGGAGAGCCATGTCCAGGAACACTGTGTGCACCAAGGGAGTGTGGAGCTGTGGGTGGGCAAGATTGTGAGGCAGAGGCCGGGCCAGCAGGACGAAAACCTGGGGCAGGCACCTGTGAAGCGCTTGGGTTTGAAGTGCATCGGTGTCTACAGAGCTAGGCTTCAGCAGTGTGTTTACCTCAGTATCGTAGCTTGGGAACAAACCCTAAAGGCGAAAAGCATAAATAGTCCGGTTGGACCTGTGGGGTGCGAGCCATGTAGGGAGTCAGGAGGAGCGGGAGCCATCTCCCCATGCAGAGAGGGACTCTCCCAGAGGGGCTGCAGTCAGCAGGGCCTGCGAGCAGGTGGAGTAGCAGCCGAGAAGCTCTTTGCTGGCGAGTGCCCAGGCGTGGATGGGACGGTGAGCCTGGGAAAGCCGCCTGGCAGTAGAGCCAGTGTCCACACTCTATTCTTTGTACTATGTACTTAGCCACCACCAAAATATGGTAGCCTTGGTCTGTATCATTAAAGCTTAGATTAATCATATCCAAGTTCCTGGGAAACGGTTAACTGATATTTGCTCTGTCTTCCTCCAGGAGATAAAGAAATTCATTAAGGGGGTTTCTGAGAAGATCAAGAAAACCAGAGACAAATACGGCATCAATGATAATGGCACAACGGAGGTAACAGCCTTCCCAGACACACAAGGACATGGGTTTTTGCTGGTGCCGCTGCCCCTCACTGTGCCCCTGGTTTCTGTGCTTCCAGCCCCGCGTGCTGTATCAGTTGGACCGGATCACGCCCACCCAGCTTGAGAAGTTCCTGGAGACCTGCAGGGACAAGTACATGAGGTAGGGGTGCACCCATGGGCCTCGCATGTCCCTCCTGCTCTCCGTAGCACAGACACAGCCTGGCCCGTTGCCACTTCCTTCCTAACCCCAGTGCTACCTGTACACTTTCTGTTGAGAGACAGCAACCCAAAGCCTGTCACCATCTCCTTTGCCACTCTTCTCTCTGTGCAGTCATACCCTCTTCCATGCCTTTCCTTCCAGGGCACAGATGGAGCCGGGTTCTGCCGTGGGTGCCCTGTGCGCACAGAGCATCGGTGAGCCAGGCACCCAGATGACCCTGAAGACCTTCCACTTCGCAGGCGTGGCCTCCATGAACATCACCCTGGGCGTGCCCCGGATCAAAGAGATCATCAACGCCTCCAAGGCCATCAGGTGGACAGCTCCCCGCTGGGCTCCTTGGGAGGCAGGGATCCTTGTGTCCTGTACATACCTGTGGTGCTGCAGGGACAGACAGTGTCTTCCACTCTGGGGGCACACTTGCTGTCCTGGCCTAGGGTTTGGTATTTTAAAAAGTCATTTAAAAAAGGTAGCCTGGGGCCAGGGATTTAGCTCAGTGGTTCCTCCGCCTGCCTTGAACGTGCAAGGTCCCAAGTTGGATCCCTGGTACCAAAAACAAAAGACTGGAAAAAATCAAAGCACTGTGTCAGTGGAGAGTCCATCTCTTTCCTGTCATTGTTCCTGACCTAAACAAGCCTGACCACTTGTCTGCCACTTAGCCTCTGGCTGTATTCTGTGACCTCCCTGGTGATTTCATGCTAGGATTTTCGGGTGATCTGCCTGCGATGATGAAAGTCAAGCTTTCTCCTGTGATCTACATCTAACAAAGTAACAACCAATAGCATTAAAGGAGAAATATCTACACCCAGTTCTAGAACAGTAACAGTGGCACTGGAGTGCCAGGAGGTCTGGCTGGTCACATGAGACCTGAGAGGGAGTGTTGGGGCATGTTGTCCAGAGCAGAGAGGACCAGCTGATCACCAGGGCTCAGAGGGGCAGGAGGTGTGCAGGACACGGACGGAGGAAGTTGATGTGCATGAAGGGAACAAATAAAATAACTGCTTCTCAGGACCGGAAAGGAGGGGCAGGTACAGCTGCCTTGTTGGGGAGAATTTTCTGAAGATGAGGGTTTCCCCCAGTGCTCCGGAGATAGCAAGGCCAACTGAGAGCGAAGGAATCCCTTTGTAGCACGCCTGCCGCTCAGTCAGTTGCAGGTGGCTATGTGGTGGCACACACGGCACTTGGGTTCAGCTAAGCGGTGCTGTGCTGGGCGCTTCCTCATGCAGTGACCGCTGTTCCTCCACAGCACTCCAATCATCACGGCCCAGCTAGACAAGGATGATGACGCCGATTACGCCCGCCTCGTGAAAGGCAGGATTGAGAAAACCCTCCTGGGGGAGGTAAGAAGTCCCTCCTGGTGAGGAGCAAGCCAGCCGTGCCCAGGGAGAGGGAGGAGGAGAGGGGCAGGCTCACATTCTGCTCCCGGCGCCGCAGATCTCAGAGTACATCGAAGAAGTGTTTCTTCCTGATGACTGCTTCATCCTTGTCAAGCTGTCTTTGGAGCGGATCAGGCTTCTGCGCCTGGAAGTGAGTCCCTTGTTGGGCCCATGACAGGCTCTGAAAGCTGGGGCGGGGGCCGGGCAGGCAGAGGCTGCCACACAGAGACCCCCATTGGTTTCTGTTGCTGGGCCCCGTTGGGCCGTCCTGCCTTGTCTCCAAGCTGACCCTGCCAGGCTGTGCCCATCTGCAGACACAAGAAACTCGCAAGCCACAGTGCTCGGGCACCGTGTCGTGGTGTTTTCTCTGGGGAGATGGCAGCCGAGCAGCTGTCAGCCTTTCTCAGGCACACACGAGCTGAGCAGCCCCGGTTTTGGGTCCTCCGTCTCCCACTTCGGTCTCCCCAGGGCAGCCCAGGGGGCCGTGTGTGTGTGTTTTGCCCTGGGTTAAGCAAGAATTTTCAGTAGGACCGATGTTCATTCTTGGGGTGAAAAAAATGTATTTTGATGGCTGCTGCAGTCCACACAGAGAGCCACAGGCAGTTATGGTGTTAAAATTGCAGGGTGGGGTGACGTGACCAAAAGGCTTCTTAGAGGGCCGGTGACGAAATGGGGAGAAGGCGCAACAAGTGCCCCGCACCTCATGGGTGCCACACGTGCGTGCTTACAGGTGAACGCCGAGTCAGTGCGCTACTCCATCTGCACCTCCAAGCTGCGTGTGAAGCCCGGCGACGTGGCTGTGCACGGCGAGGCCGTGGTGTGCATCACCCCCCGCGAGAGCAGCAAGAGCTCCATGTACTACGTGCTACAGTTCCTGAAGGAGGACCTCCCCAAGGTGAGGGGGCGTGGGTGCTGGGAGGGGCTTCATCACACTGAGGACTGAGGACGGCCCCCACTTCAGGCGCCTTTGTCGGTCCAGGTGGTGGTACAGGGCATCCCTGAGGTGTCCAGAGCCGTCATCCACATCGACGAGCAGAGCGGGAAGGAGAAGTACAAGCTGCTGGTGGAGGGTGACAACCTGCGGGCGGTCATGGCCACCCACGGCGTGAAGGGTACCCGGACCACTTCCAACAACACCTACGAGGTACCGCTTGGCCCCTCGTGCCACCCGCAGGCCCAGCTTTCCCTCTCCCTGCCCCGACCCAGGCCTCCCCAGCATCTTAGGAAACAGCCGAGTTTGCTTTGAGCCTGCTGCTGGGCAGAGGAGGAGGCTGGCGGAAGCCACAGCCCTGTCCAGATAGGGCTGCCCCATTCACCCTGCCCCTCCCCAGGTGGAGAAGACCCTGGGCATCGAGGCAGCCCGGACGACCATCATCAATGAGATCCAGTACACGATGGTCAACCACGGCATGAGCATCGACCGTAGGCACGTGATGCTGCTGTCCGACCTCATGACATACAAGGTGTGTGGGGTGCGGCACCCGTCTCCCCAGACCTACTTTCAGCAGAACAGAGCTGCGGGGCCGGAAAAAATAAGGTGTCGCTGTCACGCACAAAGCAAGCCGTGGAATCGGGGCAGGTGCTCTGGTGAAATCCCAGCGGGAGAACTGCAGCCCCCTTGGCTCAGGCCCAGGTAGCAGAGCAAGGCGAGCCAGAGCACAGCTTCTGGGGGATCCCGAGTTTCACCCTAATGCAGAGCCAGCTGCGGCCTATAGCCCCAAGATTGCATGGCGAGTTGAGTGTCTGTTCCCTAAGAAATCGTCCTCGCTCTTTCTTCCTAGCCGTTTTCAGGCAGAGAATGAGTTACCTGATCAGAAATGAGGCAGGTGGAGCGGCTGGGGCTGGGTAGTGGGCTTTTTCCTCCATTCCTCCAAAATGTGTCCTCTCCACAGTGCTGTGGGGCAGCAGGTGCACACGGCCTCCCTCAGGGACACAGGCTGTGTGCACTGGGGGCCCGCAGCACCGCAAGAAACCAGTGCTGCCTAAGGCTTCCTGTCTGGTCTTCCTGTGCATGCACCGTCTTACTATGCATGGACGCATGCAGTTTTATTCTGACTTTTCTTCCTTTGAGAATAGCTCTTGCTGTGTTGCCCGGGCTGGCCTCAAATTCCTGAGCTCATGTCTGACTTTTCTTTTCTTTCCTTTTCTTTTTTTCCTTTTTCTTTTTTTTTTTTTTCCCCCGGTACCAGGGACCAAACTGAGGACCTTGTGCGTGCGAGGCAGGCACGGCACCACTGAGCTAAATCCTGACCCTCTTTTCTTTTCTATTGCAATACTGGGGATTGAACCCAGGGCCTTTGCACTGAGCTGTAGCCCCAGCCTCCCCCAACCCCACCCTTTTTCTTTTCTTATTTGTTTTGAGGTTAGATTTTGTTAAATCACTAAATTGCCTAGGCTGAGCTTACATTTGTGACCCTCCTGCCTCAAGCCTCCCGCCATGGTGGGATTATGGGCATGCGCTGCTGCTCCCAGCTTGTGACTTTTTAATATAAATGTTCTCCATATTTTTGAGACAGAGTCTGCTGTATAGTACAGCCTGGCCTTGAACTTACTGTTAGCCCAGGCTGGCCTCGAACTCGTGGCAGTTCTCCTGCCTCAGCCTCCCAAGTGCTGGCATTACAGGCGTGCAGCACCACTCCGGGCACCATGTTTTTATAAATACTCATTTTAGTGATGGCACTGTATTCCTCTGAATGCTGAGCATGGTGGCGCACACCTGTAATCCCAGCGCTCTGGAGGCTGAGGCAGGAGGATCCCAACTTCAAGCCCAGCCCGGGCAACTTAACAGCTATTTCAAAATTTAAAAAGAGTTGGGAATTTAGCTCATTGCAGAGGCCCTGGGTTCAATTCCCACCACTGCCAACCAAAGAAAAACTGTGTTTAATTCTTTGAGCCATCCTAAGAAAAGAAGTGCACCCCTTTTTAAAGTTAGGTTCTCCCCCAGGCTGGGAATGTAGCTCAGCGGCACAGCGTCTGCCTGGCAATCGCAAGTCCCTGAGTTCGATTCCCGGTAACAAAAAATGAAATTGAATTTTAAAACGTTTGATATTCTCCATTCTTGGTCACACAGCATCTGGGTAGGAGTGCAGGGCTCTGAGTCACCAGCATTCATCTCATTACCGCACAGCTGCTTTGGGCCCTGTCAGTTGGAAGATGCACTGTGTGAGTTTAGGTGAGTGGCCGGCGCCCCTGACTGTGTCCTCTGGCGCAGGGTGAAGTCCTGGGCATCACCAGGTTCGGCCTGGCCAAGATGAAGGAGAGCGTGCTGATGCTGGCCTCCTTCGAGAAGACGGCCGACCACCTCTTTGATGCTGCCTACTTCGGGCAAAAGGACTCCGTGTGTGGTAAGTCGTCTCCAGGAGCCTCCCAGAGGCCTCTGTCACTCACACTCAGGCTGGGGCTGGGGCTGCCTGGTTTTTTTTAATAATAGTAAACCCATAGCCAGGTGTGGTGGTGCACACCTATAGTCCCAGCACTCAGGAGGCTGAGGCAAGAGGATTGCTTGGTGTTTGAGGCCACCCTGAGCTACATAGCAAGTTCAAGGCCAGCCTGAGCTATAGAGCAAGACCCAGTCTCAAAAAAACAACAACAACAAAAAACCTAGCTACTGGGAAGCCGGAGGCAGAATCACACATTCAGCCCAGCCTGGACACCTTGCAAGACCCTGTCTCAGAATTTGTAAAGGGCCGGGCATGTTGCTCAGTAGTAAGAGTGCCCCAGGCCTTGTCATCTCGTGCTCCAAAAGAAGGAAATCACAGGTGCCGGAACTGGGAGCCACTGGTCTTCCTCTCCAAAGCCTGCAGGAGCAGCCGCGGCCCCTTCTCCCTGCCTGTGACAGGCTGCTCTGCTGGTCCAGTCTGCACACTCGGAAACCTTTCTGTCCCTTGAGGCTGGCATCGGCCCTGTTGACCCTGCAGCCTCAGTGTGACCCAGGGTTGACACAGCCACCCAGGCAGTGGAGGGGTTGTCTCACTGTCCTGCCTCCTAGAAAAGGAAGCAGCCACACCATCTGCAAGGCTCGGCCTTGCGTGGGCACCGCATGTGCAGAATCCCCTCACCACGGGCACCACGGAGAGGCGACATACCCAGCCCTGCCCCAGTGAGGAGTCCACGGCCCTGCCCTCCCACAGGTGGAGAGGGGGCGCAGGGGGTGCTGTCTGCACTGGGGCTGCTACTGAGCGCTGGGCCCTGCGCCTGCCCCTCAGTCCCCAGCAAGACCTGCAGGCCCAGGGTGGCAGCTGCGGAGGGCAGGACGGGGAGGCTCAGTGGCTCTGCCCCAGCTCCCTCAGTCCCCCACCCAGGGCCCATGCTGGAGCTCTGCTTCCCAGCAGCCACCTCCTGTCACATTGCCTCCGCTTGTATGGATTTCCCAAGTAGAGGACCGCCAGGTAGGGCCTGGGGTGAGGCCGCTTTCAGAGCCAACAGCTGTGCGTCCCCCCATGGTAACTTCTCTTTCAGAAGGCACACGAGCATAGCACTGGTACAATGCTTGCCTAGCATGTACAGGCCCTGTGTTTCACACCCAGCAATTTAAAAGAAGAGGAAAGGAGGGCTGGGGATTTAGCTCAGTGGTTTTGGCGCCTGCCTCGAAAGCACAAGGTCCCAAGTTCAATCCCTGGTACCAAAAAAGAAAAGAAAAGAATAGGAAAGGAGACACAGACTAGGGTTGGTGGGAGAGCAGTACATCCCATCCCCTTTTTATTTTTTAATTTTTTTTTTGGTACGGGGGATCGAACTCAGGACCTTGCGCTTGCAAGGCAGCTGTGATGCCACTGAGCTAAATCCCCAGCCCTATTTTTATTTTATTTTGAGACAGGGTTTTGCTAAGTTCACCAGACTGTCCTTGAACTTGGGGTCACCCTGCCTCAGCCTCCCAAGTAGCTGGGATTACAGATGTGCACCACCATATCCACCCTGCATAACTTCCTATAATAAAGGAAGGTGAGGACGAGGAGTCTAGCTCAGTGCTGGAATGTTTGCCTATCACCCTCAGGGACCTGGATTCAAATCTCAGCACCACTATGAAAAAAAAAAGACCAGAGACCGAGGTGGGCCACAAAGGGGGGTGCAGAGAGAGCTGGGGAGAGCCACGGCCAGGTCAAAAGGAAGAGCTATCAGGCGCGTTGGCACACACTTGTACTGCAGCAGGAGGGTCACAGATTCCGGCCCTGCCTGGGCAGTGACTTAGCAAGACCCTGTCATGAAACAAAAAGGGCTGGGGACGTAGCTCAGTGGAGAGGCCTTGGATTCACTCCCTAGCACTGGGAAAAAGAAAGCTAGGCATGGTGGCACATTAATCAAGCACTTAGGAAGCGGAGGCAGCAGGGTTACCTGGAGTGTGAGGCCAGCCTGCACTACACAGTGAGACTGTCTGGAAAAGGAACGAAGGAAGGCAGGCCAGGGATTTAGCTCAGTGGTTCCTCTGTCTGCCTTGCAAGAAAGGAAGAATAGCAACTCTGCCTGAAAACAGGGCTGGGACCCCTCACCTGGCCTGACAGCAGTGAGCTGGGCCTGACACGGTCACCCCACCCCACTTGGAGATTGCCTCCTCACCCTCCAGCGCACCGTGAGCCACTGCTCGTGCTCTCCATGTGATGCTTTGCCTCTTTGGGGCCTCGTGAGCACTGAATGCAGCAGCCTGATGTGAGGCCACAGGCGCATCTTAGAGCTGAGTGGAGCTGGAGAGGCTGGGCCTGCAGGATCTGGCCTCGGCCGTCGCGGCCACTCACCCCCCAGTACACATGGGAAGGAGGGTGCTGTGTCCAGCCAGCCAGTTCCAGTGCAGCGGAGCTGGCATCCTCCCCAGCCCCCATGCGTTGAGCTCTCTGACCTCCATCCTTGTTGCAGGGGTGTCCGAGTGCATCATCATGGGGATCCCCATGAACATTGGAACCGGGCTCTTCAAGCTACTGCACAAAGCCAACAGGGACCCCAACCCTCCCCAGAGACCCCTGATCTTCGACACAAATGAGTTCCACATCCCCCTGGTCACATAGTCTCCATGCTGCTCTTGTCCTGTGGGCAGCTGACACCGAAGCCCAAGGCCCTGCCTATGCTGGTGGCTGCAGGAGGCCCCTGCTGTCCCCAGGAGTGGCTCCTCAGGCCGGGAAGCGCGTAGCCGGCCTGCCTCCACCAACAGACTGAGAAGAACAGGGTTCGGCTGTTTGTTGCCTGTCTGGGGTCTCAGCACCAGCCGGGACACGGGAGAAGGTCCCCACAGCCTCGCTCCGCCAGTCAGTCACCCTGATGTGAGCCGGGTCTGACCCCTCGAGGGCTGGGACGCTGTCCAGGTTTTCCAACCCTCAGTTATGCTGAAATCACCATGTCCTCCTGTAAATAGTGTCATTTATTTGTCCACTTGGGGATTTGGGGGCTTGGTTGCTTTGTTTCATTTTGGAATCCAGGAACCTAGAGAAACCAAGAAAGCCATCGTGAAGTGGCACTGAGAAACCGTGCCGTGTGGAGTCTGTCATGGAGCTGCAACTGTCAGGCGTGGGGCCCAGCTGCCCCATGGCCTCACCTCACTGTCACCTGACGGGCTGACAAGAGCCAAGCCTGGGCCTGGGGCCGCCTCCTGGAGTTTGTAGCATGCTGAGGTCGGGACCAGATGGCATGGCCTGGCATCAGCCAGCCGTGATGTGGACCTGGTCCAGGCCCTGTGCCGCCCAGCACCAGCCTCCATACCCTGCTGAGGGGTCTCCGTGTCGGTCCCCCTCTCCCAGCCAGAGAATGCACAGAGCTGGTGGCCTGCAGGTTCCCCGGGGTGGGGTGGGGCACTGCTGGGCCGGCACCAGCCGTAGGGAGGTATGAGACAGGAGGAGGGCACAGGGTGGGTGAGCCTGAGGCTGGGGGAGCCCCGCCAGCCTCCGCAGGCTCCTGGAAGAGTAGAGCTCCTGTGACAACCGGAAGCTGAGCCCGGGCTGGGAGGAGGCAGAGTCAGGTGTCCCAGAAAGACCCGCATCCAATCCTTGCTGCAGTTCTGCCTGCTGCCTGCACCGTGCAGGAGGGGAAGGAGTGAAGGCAGCGGCCGTGGCAGAAGGCAGAGACAACATGTTCTTTCCACTGAAGTTGGTGGGGTTGGCATGGGGCGGGAGGGACATTGGCAGTGACTTCAGCCTCCCTCCCTGCGAGGAGGTCCTCGGGGCCACCCAACCCTGCCTGTCCACCCAAATGGGCCTGTTGATGAGGTGACCAGGACTCGGGGCTTGGCCCTGCCTAGGGCTTCATATGCCTCAGGAAGTGGTGGAGACCAGCACTGCCCAGGCCAGGCATGGTAATGCACACCTGTAATCCCAGCACTTGAGAGGCTGAGGCAGGAAGATCACTGAGTTCCAGGCCAGCCTGCACTCCAAAGTGAGACTCTGTCTCAAAACCAAAAAAAAAAAAAAATGGAGTGTGGCCCTGTGTCCCACTTTGCAGCCACACCAGGCTGACCTGCGACCTCTCAGGGGTCCTTGGTGTAGAAAATGCCATTTCCTCTGTGCTTTCCCCTTGTTGAGCTGAGCTAGCCTGTGGCTCTTGACATTGGGAGACCTCAGCGAGGGCGCTGCTTGCTGCTCACACAGCCCAAGGGGGCCGCAGAGAGGAGAGGACGGCACACATGACCGCGGCCTTCCAGAGACCCGGCCTGGGAAGGCAGTCGCCGGGGTGGTGAGACCCAGGCACACTGAGGTTCAGGCCTCGCAAGGAGGGAGGAAGAAGCCCACCCCACTGCACACTGTTAAGTGGCACCCGGTGGCTGTGAGGTCCCCGCAGTCCCCAGGCCCTCCCATGCTGGTGGGTAGGATCAATGGGTCCACTGGCCCTCCTGGTGAGGGCTCTTGGCACGGACACTCAGGTGTGAGCTCTCCGAGGTGGGTGCAGGTCAGCCCGGAGCTGTGAGGATGATCCGGCCTGGGGCAGTGGCTCCACACAGGAGCCTGTCACCCACGGATGCCATCTCCTCAGGCCTGGCCTTGGGCTTTAAGCCAGGACAGACAGTAGGACCCGGCAGCAGTGATCCCAAGAGTGAGCTTTGAGGAGCGGAGCATGGTGGCTTTGAACTTAATAGGCAGCCCAGGATGGCCTCAAACTCTCAGCAGTCCTCCTGCTTCAGCCTCCCGAGTGCTGGGATTACAGATAGGTGCTACCATGTCTGAGTACAAAATTAAAATTTTAAATAAAATTTTCCAAAGGTTGGGGATGAGCTTAGTGCACAGGTCCTGGGTTCAATCCCTAGCACTGCCCAAACCCAGACATGTCCAGGAGGGACAGAGGAGAAGGTTCAGGGTGAAACTGGCTGAGGTGAGTCCAGCTCCACTCATCAGCTGCCCCACTGAGGCTGGGGCAGTCCTGGGTTCCAGCCTGTCCTTCCTGGTCTCATTCGCTTGGGTGTGGATTCCAGAGGCCGTGCCCTGAGCACAAGGAGCAACAACCCCAGCTGCCTGCAGGTGATGTGTGGACTCCTAAGTTGGGGTGCATGCTGAGCCTCTCTGCGCTGTTCCCAGGGGTGTGTAGTCCCCGAGGGAATAGACTTCACCACCTGGTTGGGGCATCTCCTGGACAACCTGGCATCTGGGCTGGGCCCAAGCTCATGGGGACCCTCCTGCCTCAGCCTCCCAAGTGCTCGGATCACAAGCATATAACTGCTCGGTTTAGAACATTTTTAATTGGCCTATAAAGTCAACATAGTCTCATTTTGGAGTTGTGGGTGGTAGGATCAGAAGAATTCAAATGGACAGATAAGATACGGGCGTGATGTTCTTTTCAATATACTGTATAACAGGCTGTCCCTGGAGCTGGAATTTGATTCTTTGCCTCCATAAAGAGAGGTTGCTGTCTGAAAGTCATCAGCAAAGAATCCAAGGAACTGGTAACCCGGCTGCCTATGGGGACAGAAACGAGCAACTGAAGGGTCGAGCTAGGGAGTGACTTCCTTCCCACCTGACGGTACTTCTCTAATTTTGTAGGTCTTGCCAGTTTTTTGTGGGTTTTTTTGGTACCGGGGATTGAACTCAGGACCTTGGTCTTGTGAGGCAGGCGCAGCAACACTGAACTAAAACCCCAGCCTCTTGCCAGTTATCTTTTTAAATGGATACCTCATAGGAAATCAAGGGTCTTGGAGAAGATTCGGATTCCTTGGTACCGAGGATCAAACCCAGAGCCTTTGCACTGAGCCACACCCTCAGCCGTTTTTACTTTTATTTTGTATTTTTATTTTTTGTTACTGGGGATCGAACTCAGGACCTTGCACTTTCGAGGCAGACGCCAGAACTACTTTGTTTTGTTTTATTCTTAGTACCGGGGATCGAACCAGAACCACTTTGAAACAATATCTCAGTGACTAAATTGTGGAGCTCAGGCTTGCAATCTTCCTGCCTCAGCCTCCTGAATGAATAGCTGGGATTGCAGGTTCGTACCAGAGCCCAGCCAGAACAGTATTTTTAAATGAATATAGGAAGGCATGGGTGCAACCCTAAATTGCCTCATTGACTTTGGGCTTGAGGTGAGCAGGCCCTTGGAGCCCTACAGGCCTGGATCGAATCCCCATGCCTGGCTTTTTGCTCCTGAGAAGTTGCCATCATCCCGAGCTGGCAGGTTCCAGTGACCCAGCCTGACCCCCACGCCTCGTCCTCCCAGAGAGAACTCCCGCACCTGCCCCAACCCCGGCAACAAGCCTGACCCCGTCCCCCATTTTCACCTCCAGCTGGGCCCCAGCCCTGGCCAAACACCAGAGCCAGAGCTAAAGGCTTCCAGCACAAAGCCAAAGCCGCTTCCATGTCACCATGGTAACCAGAGAGTTGCCATGGAAACTGGAGCGGGACCGGTCCCCACGGAGACACTGGGGAGACTCCAGAGAAAATCATTATCAGGTGGAACAGGGTGGGGAAGGGGAACCCCATAAGTCAGGGAGTCCCAGGTGTGTGCATGGACACCCAAAGGGAGGAACTGCAAGGGAGGAATGGAAGAGACCAGCTTAGAGAGACGTGGGCCTGTAACCTCTGCTAGCTCAGTCCTGTGTGATAAACACCTTCTGTGACCTTCAGAGGAGAGATCTGGAAGAAACAGGAGAGCCAGGTGCCATGATCCACACCTATGATCCCAGCACTTGGGAGGCTGAGGCAGGAGGATCACTGCAAAGTCGAGGCCAGTGTGGGCTACCTAGGAAGATCCTGTCTCAAAACAAAGTCATGCTGGAACATTTACTCTGTTTAAATATTTTATAGCCTCAAAGCAACCCTGAGGTCGGAATCATCTGTACCTTGAGAAAGTAATGACTATGCCCTCCAGCAGCTCCTCCCTCATGAGGGATGCCACTCTTCCCCAGCTCGGCTCCCTGCAGCAGGTCCAGGGTGTCTTGCCATAGATAGCTGAGCACCTTCGACAGTGCACTTCTCAGCTTCCTGTATCACAGGCAGTTGGGTGGATGAAGGTCTCTCGGGGTCACATTCCAAGACCACTAAGGATTTGCCCCAGAGCTTTGCCTGGTGAAATCCCAGCACTCAGAGGCTGAGACAGGAGGGTCACCACCTGGGATACAGGGTGAGTTCAAGGCCAGCCTGCACTTCCTAGTGAGGCCCTGTCAAAAAAAAAAAAAAAGATTTTTACCGGAACTTGAAGGTGTACAGCTGTGGGGGCCACGGGCGAGAGGAAAAGGAAGAGAAAGAGGTGACCATAACCCTGGGGACCTTCATAGAGAAGAGAGTGTGGGGCAGGGGAGGGAAGTGGAGCCCTGGGGCCCCTCCCACAACCAGGAGGGTGGCCCAGAGCAAGGCAGGGCCACATGTTTCACAGATGTTGAGAAACCGGGACCTCATGGTTGCAGGTGGGACCCACGGTGCTAAAGACTATTTGCACGCTTACCACAGGACCAGGCCCCTTGGCTTCTGCACACCCCGAGCCACGAGCCACCTCCCCCACACTCATTTCTCAAGATCCTCCTCTTGTGACCTCCAGGCCAACACCAGCTATCATTCCATTGTACCACGTGTGTATGCATTTGCTAAGGGCACAGGGCAAAAGGTTACTCATGGCAGTCCTCCTGCCTCAGCCTGCCAGATGCTGGGATTATAGACATGTGCCATCACAACCAGAAGAACAGCATCTGGCTTTCTTTTTCATAAGCCTTGCACCCCTTTTCAACTTTTTAAAGCTAACATTTCGATAGTAACATTTTAAAGCTGAACTGAAAATTTCAATAAAAATTAAAACATTGACCCAAATTCTACTTAGAATGTACAAGCTGAGTCAGGTGAATACAGAAAGCAAGGCTGAGGATGAACAGACAGAGGGAACAGAGTCCTAAGAGGAAAACTTGGTATCAGACAGGGAGGGAAAGAACATGTGCAGGAAATAGACCAAAATAGACCACATACTAGCTCATAGAACATGCTTAAGTAAATGCAAAGGAATTGAAATTATCCCATGCATACTATCAGACAATAGTGCAATAAAATTGGAAATCAGGGCCAGGG